GGGGGGGGCGGGGAGTGTTAGAAGGGGCATAAACTAAGAAAGAAAAAGAGGGAAAAAAAATGTGATTCACACTCAGGAATCAGGGTATCTAATGCGGAGAAAGACAAAGGGAGATCCCATAATGACAATATTCTTAAAGCACTGAGGGCAACTGGTCCTAATTAGAACAGGTCAGAGAGTTCTATTTAAGAAGATGAAATTGATAGGACTGTTCTATCTGAATGCATGGAGAAATATATTTATTGACAGAGAATTTGGGGTTGAACCAGTGACAAGTATAGCCATGTATTGCTTGTTGGGGATATATTCTGAGATATGCATCATTAGATGTATTATTTACACAAATCTAAGTGGCATAGCCTAGTAACACAACTATAGGGCACATACATAGCACTGTTTCTGCAGTCTGTCATTGACTGAAACATCATTATACAGTGCATGACTGCATATAAAATACCAAGTAAACAAATCATCAAAATGATAATGATCAACTCCAGCAAAAAGAAAGTTATGCAAAAAGGGTAAAATAATAATAAAAGTATGCACAATTCATTGTGAATAAGGTTTACACTAAATATTAATCCAAATTTTGATATACAAAGAGGAGAGAAGATTAGGAAATGTGTGTGTGTGTGTGTGTGTGTGTGTGTGTGTGGAGGGGAGAGGAGGGGAGAGTTAGAGGAAACTAAATTCTCATCTTCTTCAGCGAGAAGTCAATAGTAAGCCTAAAGCAGAAAAACCAAGAAGTACCAATATAAGTATGATATTAAGACATATGGACTTTAATCTTTTTTTTAAAGAGAGAGAGAGAAAATTTTTTTTAATATTTATTTTTTAGTTTTCGGCATATGCAACATCTTTGTTTGTATGTGGTGCTGAGGATCGAACCCGGGCCGCACGCATGCCAGGCAAGCGCGCCACCGCTTGAGCCACATCCCCAGCCCCAAATCTTCAATAATAAGATAAAGAGTTGAAAATACTTGGCTCTGAGAGAAGGAAACTGAAGTGATGTGGGTAGGGAATAGGGGAGGTACTTAAGAGTTTTTTAAATAAACCCTATAAAATATTTTATTTTTAGCCACATGTACAATTTTGATTTAAAAAAAAATCAGGAAAGGGAGGGAAGAAAGAAAATAAAGGGAAAGAGAGCAGGAGGAGGGGAAAAATGTTAGAGACATAATAGAGATCAACATTAGATATAACCTAATAGATTGAATTGTGGGTTTTTATATAAAATGAAAGTCAAAGTCCAAAATATTGGGAAAAAAAATCTATAAGCTTTAAATAAATATAGACCCTCCCTCTATATATGTATATACATACATACAAAATATATAATACATACATTTCATCTGGGTTTTAAACTGTAAATCCATAGCCAAATGACAGCATGCAACATGTGTATCATGTTATTTAAGTTCCCATTCTTTCACTGTTTGTAAGGGAGGGATGACACCATTATACTACTCCTTTCTTTCCTATCCTCCAACCTCCTATGGATCTGCTTATTCTCTATTAGCTTAAGCCAGTATCATCCTCCCAAACTGGTCCACCTGCTTCTCTACTCTGCCATTCTCAATCATATTCATCTTCCTATCATGCAGGCAAGATGATCTTTCTAAATTCAAAGTCAATCAGACCATTTCCTTGCTGAAAATACTGCCATAGCTCCCACTGCCTTTAGGACAAGTGTGAACTCTTCAACCTGGCCTCCAAAGCTTCATAACGTGGCTTCTTGAGCCTCGTTTCTTAACATTTCCAAGAAGGTCTTTCCCATCCTCCACTCTCTTTAAGCTCTGGACAGTTACACTGAAGTCTGCACATCTTTGAATTCAGTCTGTTGTCACTTTTGCATCGCTTTTCCCTTTATTCTACAAGTTCTCCAACAAAACACTTTATGCAAAATTATGTGTGTGTTTCTGTTATGCACACACAAAAGCACAAGCATAAAAACTTACAAATAATGTTAATAGAATATATAAGTTCATTTAACCCCAATTTTGGACCTAATTTAAGAAACCCTTTGTTAAGGTATAAGTAGGCTCACAGGAGAATTTCTGCATACAAAGCATATGTGAGGCGCACATATCAATATTAACTGTTTTTCATGTCACCAGAATGTTCTATGCTGTGCTTTGTCCCATAGAAAGTTAACTAAATTATCTGAAAGTTGGTTTCCCTGGAAATGGGTTACTCTAGTGAAAAACATCCCCTCACTGTTCTGAAAACAGCAGGATCCTAGAATGTGAATAGTTCTGCCTCATAAGAATGCCTGAGCATGCAGTTACAGAAAAAAAAAAAAAAAAACTTAAAAAAATTTGGATGATATTAGATGAACAGCTGTGTAGAAGGGGGAAAGTAAAAATAAAAACTGAATGTTGGAGCATCAAAATAGTAACCATGTACAGTATATGACTGTTTTTAATCAGATGAAGATTGAAGCTATTACATTTCAAATCAAATGTTATAAATTAGTTCAAGAATGCAGCTGAGCTCTCATTTAATTAGAAATGTCCATGTTTAAATCATGAGGTACAGTAGCTGCCAATGAAGCAAAAGGGCAAGGGAAGGGAGAAATACTGTGTCCAGACCCTCTGGTTCTCCACCGTCTCCTACACACAGCAGAAACATCTGGGGGGAAGGGGGAACTAGTCCTGATGTAAGGAAGAACTTCATGTACTAGCTAATTTGAGAGTTAATGTAATTGCCTATAATTGTTTTGAAGACAATTAAAATCATTATTCTGGTCTGGACAATTCTAAGCTCTTCATTTCTGTGTGAAACATATTTTCTTCCATGCTGAATTTTAACTCTTTCTTGGATCAAAAGTAAAGCAAATTTGGGGCCAAGATTTGCTTGGGAAAATCACTGCTTAGCTGTCAGGTCACATTAAAAAGCAGCACCCCAGTGAGGTTGTCCCTTTGGAAACAAGTCTCCTTTCCTATTTCTGGGATTTGATGTAGCTCAACTGAAGTCCAAATCGACATCCCAAATGTTAGACAATTTACTATTAAATAAAAATGAGACAACATCATAGAGGGATTTTTGAGGTCATACAGAGAAGAATGCAATTATCCTTAGGCGGGCTTTTCCCCAAAGGTTATGAGCCTCTGCATCTCGTAATTAACCACGGTGCAGCGAGACAGTCCAGGCAAAAGGTCTTTCTTTTCTCCCAATTTGCCGAATTCAAAAGCACCTCAAGTGACACAGCTCACATTTTCCAAATTAAACTTGGCCCTAGGGCTGAAATCAGGCACATGACAGATCAGCTCTACAGAAAATCTTAAAGAGAAAGTTGTGCATAGGGGAAAAAGGAGGAGGGGGAATCAGAGGGAAAAGGGGTAGTAGTTTACATTTAAGTGGTTTTTCAACCTCACCATTACCCCTGCTCAAGAAAATAGGACACAGATGGGCAAAACAAGCCATCATTCTGTCCTGAGAGTCAAAGAAACTCATTAGAAACGACTATTGTTTCCTCACAATCTATTGTGAATTTGTAAGAAACAAAATTATTGATTTTTTTTCTTTGCTACATCCCACAGTGGCTACTGATCCCTAATGTCATGGCATGGAAAGTGGAAGGTTGAGTCCCAAAGACAGTGTGCCACTGCACCCTAACACTTGTTGACACAATTCTTCAAGGCTGACTTTTCCCAGGGAGTTGAGAAGTGATTAGCTTTTCATTGTCACAGACTGTTTGGGTTTGTAAAAACAGTTTCCAACAGGAATAATAACCCAAAACTTTCTCTTACTTCTGGCTACAGCTCCACACTCATCCACTCCAACACCAGAGAGAGGGTAAATGGGGATCAGGTCCACTGCTCCCAGGCAAGGGTGGACTCCCTCTTGAACCTCCATGTCTATGGCTCGGAAGGCCTCCAAACAGGCAGCCAGAACACAACTGCCTAAAAATATGAAATTGTAAAAAAAAAAATCATTAAACTTTCAATTGTTTCTAAAGAAGAAGTTATGATTTTATTGTTCCACTAGCTGTTCTTCTTTTGTAATCTGTACTAAAGGTTTGTTTTCCATCAAAATAAATAACTGAAAAATAAAAGATTCAACATTTCCCCTCACCCCACCTCTCAACCATCAAATAACTTCATATTTCTTCCCAAAAGCTGAAGAATTATGCACAGTTTATTGGTCTTAAACAATTGTTACTTTCTTATAATAGGTAACTTTTATTTTCTTCAATTAATCTGATAAAATTCCTTTTAATTTCCGGAATGATTTTTAAGTAATTATATTAAAATATAGAAAAAAATTCATAAAACTTTAGAAGCATAGTTTTGTTCTTATCTAGTAATTAATTGAATTATTATATCTAATACATATTATAGACACCTGAGAGTTTTGTTATTATTCTGAGTTTCCATTAGCCATACAATATGATCATTTCCACTGAGAAAAAAGAAGATTTTACATCTTATGTTATGATTAACAGTCAAGATAATCAGTTTTATGCTTGCAGGAAGTTAGTGGTCAGCTCTTCAAACTTCAAGAAAACATACTTTTGAAAGAAAGACAATCTTCCAAGTTGAAGATAAGTTTATTTGAAAATATTGTGGGTCCTTTACCAGGCAATATTAACATAACATGTGGGCTGGGGATATAGCTCAGTTGGTAGAGTGCTTGTCCTGTATGCACAAGACCCTGGGTTCAATCCCCAGCACCACACACACACACACACAAAAAAAAAGATAACATGAACTTTTGTTCACAATTGTGATTCTTCAAATTCAAAAAGTTGTCCTACCAAACCCTATACCATCCCTATGAGACATGGAGCCCATTTCGTTTTAACCGATGGTTCAACTGAAGATTTCAGGCTACCAACCCAAAACACAACTGCTTAGTATATTTCATTCTATTGGTGTCAACTTGAGTGACATCAGGCTGACTTTAAAACTATTACTACATAGGTTAAACCCTGAATGTATTAACCACAAAAGACAGGTGATCATCTTCAGCAAAAGGATGTTACTAAATCTTAGGCCAAAAGGTCCACTGTAATAAAGCAGAAACAGAAAGTTTTCAATATGTACTCAAAGAAAGGATAAAATGAAAATTGGGGGTAGATGCCTCACTGAAAGGAAGGAAGTATTCAAATTTACACAGGAAATCAGTAATTAAGGAAGACACCTGAAGCCTACCCTTCACCAAAAAAGATAAATATGTAAAAACAAATTAAACTCTTACCCAACTTATCAACAGAAGCTGCAATTGTAATAACTGATCTGTTGTAGTCTTGATCAGAAAATATATTGAGCACTGATGCTTCAGGATGTTTCTGCCCTGTAAAGATAATGTCAAAAAAATGCATAATTTTTTTTCTATAATGAATCTTTATACTTACATTCTTCTGATATAATTAAATTTAGTCTGGTGGAAAAAAAATCTGGGATGGGAGCTTTGAGACACTGTAAGAATGAAATCATGAGTAGTGATGTCTACTTCTTACAGCATCTTACAGTATAACCAGACAGCTAAGCTCAGACATAAGTGTTTGATGTCTGAGAGACATTTGCTTGGACTTGTTAAATGAATTTGCAGAAGTTTTCTTAACTCATCTAAGAGGGTATTCCCTGTGATCAATGGTAAAATTGTATCATTCTAAATTTTCCCCTTATCAAGCTTATCTTCTAGGCCTTGTCAATATTTCCTTCCAAAATACAGAAACCAAATTGTCTGGTCAGGAAGTGAAACATGGAAAAACTAGGACAGGCCAATTAATGCATAGATCAGAGGTCTCTAGTGTGCATACACCTGTCCATTAGAATCTGTTCTGACTCCACAATCTCCTTTCTAGAGGCCACCAACAGCTTTCAGATGTTAATGACTTCCAGCTTTTGGTGGCTTATGACTCACTTGAATGTGTAACCTGGAGGAGAAAGCTGCCATACCCTGGTATGGCAGCCGTACATAAATTCAAGTTATTTTTGAAGTTTACAAGCCTGGCCCAGGCTCCTTAAAACTCCCCCTAAAGCCTACAAAAGCAAATTCAAAGTGAAGGACAAAAGTTTTTAGGCAGTAATTAAACCTTTAGCTACGCTATTATACCTTGTCCCCCTGTCTCCTGGCAGCTTAACAACTAATCTTTTCAGAGAAAAGGAAAAAGAAGTTACACCCAGGAACTACAGCTTACAGCAGCCCTACCCTATTAATTTTAATAGCATGAGAAGATAAACATATGTCACTTACTTAGAGTCAAACAAGCACCTATAGAGAGCCCTGCCCTGGTGTAGGTCTAAAATTTATAACTCAGGTTCCTTTACCTAAGACCTTTTTGGGTCATTTAAATGTGCTCACATTGCTTAATGAGAAAAAAAAATAAAGTTTATATAGTTTTATTCCACTCGCTTAAAAGTAAATGCCTTTAAATTATTTGTAAAACTACAGGTTCACTTTCTTAACTAGTGCTACCTGCCCTGCATTTTTTAAACTACAAAAGGTGAGACAAGAACAAAATCATGCAACCTCCTATTTTATCTAGTTTTTCAACATAATTTAGCTCCTGGGAAAAAAAAAGAAATGATTTTTTTTTTCTCATCCTAAATCATCTTCTGAAAGGCTTTTATTCTCAGTTTCATATGATTCAATTGAATCAAATGCTGAAAGAATGAAACACTCTCTCCTGCAATTTCTTAAGCACGCATATAGGGAAAAAATGAGTGCTGGCAGGAGGAGCTGTCAGTATGAATCTCAGCGGAAGTAAATTGTTTGGGATTTGTAATGGAGTATAATAGCTATAATTCCATTTGAGCGGCTGCCACTAATAAGCTGATAAAAACTGTGAGTTGAGACCCAGGCATCCATCAGTGTGTCTCTTCCACAAATGTCTCTTACATTCACTCAATCAGAGACACAGGTAACCCACTCCCATTAGATGTACTGTTTCTGACAATGAAGAGCCTAAGCTGGCTCTTTCCCACAAAGAGCGTGCAAAAAACAGCTGCACACAGACTCCAAAGGGGTTTTTAAATCAGCAATTATCAGGAATTTTCAGAGACATTTCCCGCTCCTCAAAGTTGTAAGACAGTAACTTAAATGTGCTCCTAGTTATGGATGGGTTGGGGAGAAACACTTCTTTCTCATGAAAACCACATCAAAAATGACAATCATAAATCAAAATGTACTGTTGCAAATGCTTTAGGACTGTGACCCTAATGCTCACCTGTTGCCAAAAGGCTACTGACTTAGTAAAAAAAGCATTTATATTTAAATAATTGTAAGTTTGTAAGTACCATGGCTTATATGTAAAAGCACAAATAAATGGTATCTAAATCATGTGTCATCACATGAACATTTTATGAAGGGTGAAAAAAAAAACATAGCAGTATCTCTCATAGTAATATGGTCCTAGGAAGTATGGAGGCTTGTTTCTATGTTTATTTTGAGGTTATTTATTTATTTGTACCAGGGATTGAATCCAGGGGCACTTAACCACTGAACCACATCCCCAGCCCTTTTTTGTATTTTATTTAGAGACAGGGTCTCATTGAGTTGCTTAGAGCCTCACTAGGTTGCTGAGCCTGGCTTTGAACACAAGATTCTCCTGTCTCAGCTTCTCAAACTGCTGGGATTATAGGCCACCATGTCCAGCAGAGTCTTCTATCACCAAATTTCTGAGTGACCTTATCTGCATCACTTAAAGACAACTGCCTAATAGTTTTTTTCCCAGAGAATGGATTAGAAATGATAATACTGTAAGGCTCTGCTGGCAGGAGTGCTTTGAAGGTGGTTCATCTTTGGCCAGTTTATTTTCTATTTAATCTGCTAAATAAAAATCATAATGTATTACTATGTTATTTTATTAATGATCAAATAAAAGGTCCATGAGAGAAGCATTAAGCTTTTATGTAAATCTGTCCTGAACAATTCACATCTCAGAGAATCATGCAAACATGAAGAGGTACATTCCTGAATGTATGCAGACATTTAAAAAGAATATCTGTGCACATCTGAGTAAGTGATTTATCTCAGTAGCCTGCAGTTGCTTCAGAGGAAGCTGTAACAGCTCAAGACCAAAGGCAGAATTCTAGAAAGAAAGTAGATGTTGAGTACAAAAATGACTGTATCATCGAAACACTGCAATATCCATTTCAACTGTTTGTTGTTCCTACCATTTTTTTCAAGAGCTACTTTTGCTATGTTCTCAACAATGTATTTTCTTCTGGCTTCTGAAATGTTTAGTAAGCAGACAGCCAAACGGGACCCCAGTCTGGAGGAGGACATGATTTTTCTGGAATATAAAAAAAAAAAAAAAAAAAATCCTTTATTTCAGTCTCTAGACATCATTCATATTTTCATGTTCATTAACCATAAAAATCACATCTTTTTAGAAACCTGGCAGTCAGAATGTGAACACTTCACTATTTCACATTCCTAGAAAACATTTAAAGGAAAAATTTTCAGAATCCCATGTGCATCATTCATATGAACATGGTCACACAATTATGAACATATGAACATAGTAACAACCCTGAAAATGCCTGGCAAATTAGTCTGGACTCTGTTATATAAAGGAAACTTTCTCATTCACTTAGGCATGATCTTCCTTAGCTTATCCCTTTTTTCCAAGCCTGTAATATTTAACAAATAGGCAGGATCCTTTTATAAAACTAGAAAAACTAGACTTACTAGGGAAATGCAGAAATGGGGAATGAGGAAGACTAGTATTATTTAATATGACAATTTTTGTAAAAACTGTTCTTGTTGAAAAAAACAAAACGCATATCCACAGGTCAGGCCATGGGCATTATACAGTCAAGAGGCCCATTTGGACTCTATGAATGACAACTATTTGATTAACTAAGATCCTCCTTGTTCTTTGACCTCCAAAGTTTCTACATCAGTTTAAAATTTTTTCACAGGACTGTACTTTGAACCAAAAGATGATGCAGATTCTGGTACATGTGACTCAATAATGCCAAAAATGTGATTGATCTTTTGTTGAAAATGGCTCAATTACACAAGTTTTAGAGGTTGCATTGATTCTAGTACTCTAAATGGCATTTGTCAACTAATCTTTTCACACTTCAAACAACGACTTTATGATCTAAAGGAATTAAAACACCTCAAAATATAAGAACACAATTCCTCTTTTTAAGATCTGGTCGTCATAATGTTGGCCTCTTTTAAATATCAAAACTAAAAGTTAATGCAGCCTTCACGAATTCATCTGACAAATTTTTGATGAGGGTCATTTTGTGTCCTGGAAATGTCTCCATGTGACAACACTACAGAGAATGGTGTTCAACCCTGAAACAAAACAAATTTAAAATAAAAGAGCTCTGGTACAAATAATGATCTCTCCACAAATAAATGTGCTGTTTTCTGTTCACTAAGATTGTTGGCCTAATCATCTGAACCTAGAAGGATGCAGCACTTTGAGGTTAGTTGAAGTTTGCAGGCAGATTTTCATATTTTGACCATCAGCTCATCAATGCAAATTCATAAAAATAGGATCATTAGGTTCTTCTAGACATTAATAACATTGTTGTAATCGAGCAGCTCAGACCTCTCCCCTTTCTGTGTAAACAAAAACTTGCTTTACACAAGGGGTGTGGGCGTCTTCTGGTTTTCATTTGTTTTCAGTGTGTTTATGTAGCTTAATTGTCTCATCAGGCACTTTCCCAACATAATTATGCTTTTTAACAAATGGTGTTTATGGCAACCCCTAACAGTGCAAAAGAAAGGATTAGTTTCATCCTCTCATTCCACAGTTTGATTCCCTGTGGACAGCTAAATCACACAAAGATGGTGTTAGGAAAATCTACCTTCACTGCAAAAAGTGAAATGTGCGCCAATACAAGGCGTTCCGACAGTTTCCTCTAAGAAAGTGACCCAAATGCAACCCCTCGCCCCATCCACTTCGTGGTTTGGGATAAGGAGATCCCAGCCCGCCCGCCTCTCAGTCACTCTCTGGCGACTTCCGGTGATAGACCGAAAGCTGTCCCAAGATGAACTAGCAGGGCAAATCCAAATGAAGCAGTCCTCCACGGATACTCCAAATCCCCCGCCTTGGGCACAAGCACCTCCGCACCGGAGGCCGGCGGAGGGCGCCGGAGCGCGATCTCCGGACCAGAGCCCCCGCGAAGACCACGTGTGCGGTCCTGCCTGGCTCCGGAGCGGAGCGTCCCAGGGTCAGGCAGGCCGAAGGGTAACCCTCGTGGCTGAGCGGCCGCCGATAAGGCCCGCGGCCGGCTGCCCGGGTGGGGCTCCGGGGCCCACAGACACGCTGCCGCTAGGGAGTCCGGAGGGGAACCGACCTGCGCCCGAGGGCAGCGGGGAGCACTGCCGCCGAACCGGAATCGCCGCGCGTGCCCGCCGCGCAGCCTCAGCCGCGGCTCCGCCTCCCCGGCGCCCCGGGGCGCTCCACCCCGCAGCATACCGCCCCGCAGCTCCGCGTCCCTCCCGCCCCGACGCCGAGGAACGCGACTGCCAGGGAACCCGCGCTTCTCGGAATTACACGATTCTGTCTTGCAAGTGGGCGACTGTAAAAGGGCATTAGGATCTAAGGATGAGGTCTTTACCCATTGATCGCACACCAGCAGGGGGCTCTTCGCTGGTTCCCTAAGGAGGAACACACACAACTTCTTTGTGGTACGTTCCCTCCCTCCCGAGACTGACTTCCCCGAGCGCCGGTGACTGAGAACTGATTCCACCCCCGGACAAAAGCAGCACTTGTACGTCCCCATTTAGTCAGTTACAGGGAATGTGAACCACGCTTACGCATTTCTTTTTTTCTTTTTTCTAGGCTAGTCAACCTTGAAAACACATTTCTCTTCCAAAAAAAATCAGGACCTGTTTTGGGTTGTTTTCATTTTTTATTTATTTTTTTAATGTAGCCAGGATTAAATGTCATCATTTTGATCCAATTTCGCTCCTCAAGTGAAATAATCACTAAATAGCACTTGGACGGAATAAATTAATTTTTAAATCTATTTTTTAAATTTTCTAATTATAATTTTTAAACACAGATTTGAGGAAATTAACATTTTTGTGGACATTTGGTTTCTAGCCTAATGTGGCATAAAAATAAGTAACATGACGAGTGTTAAAAAAAATCAGGTTCACGATGCTTCTCACATCATCATCATTGTACTTAGATGTCACAACAGTATTATGTGCGATTATGTCAGATCCAGCCTTCTCCATCTCAGAGTGTTGGCAGGTAGGAGGGTTGTTGGCAAGAGGAGGGGTGTTAACCTCAGGATCCTGGATTCATTCCAAGGCTGGTAATTACATTCTGCCAGCCAAAATTCATCCCATAATTTTAATTGGATAAATCCTTTCTGGCCTAAGCTACTGCTATGCCTGTCAAACTGTTGCCACATTTCACCCCAGAGGTGTCTGTGTTTTAGTTGCAAGAATCAGTCCCTTTGAGGTTGGCTTATCAGTTTAAATCCTCAAAGTGCTTTGGGATGCTTTGGAATTAAAAATATATTTAGGTATTTTTTAAAATATTGAATCTGCATAGAAATGCATGCAATAGATATGCCTAAGAACTGATACCCATCTAATGTCAGCATTCACTAATTTGGGGAGCTTTTCAGCCAGATTCATGTCCCTCAATGTCTTTGTGTTTCCTGTTGAAAGATTGTCTTGCCTATGGCTTTAGCTTCCATTTTCAAAAAAGTAACCACAGTGTCCAAAGTTTCCTTCCATGGTGGGACAAAAAACTGAGGCCTCTTTATTTCACCTTTCTAAACAATCAAATGATAAAACTGCTTTTTAACAGGAGACAGGATTGGTAGCATTACATGTGGTCTTATATCCCTCCAGGGAAAACCATGTGACACCTAGGGCTTCTAACTAGCAGTAGCAACTGCCAAAAGAAAAGTGTCTTCCTGCATCTCCTAATCCTCTCTGTGAGAAACTCTCTCATACAGGATGACTGGGGCACTAACATTCTGGAAGCGTCTCTTCACCATTTTGCTCACTTAAAACACAAATGGGTAGAAAGCAGGGCCCAGTGTTCTTTGTGGAAGGCAGCATTTGTCTCCTGCCTGAGGACCACAGCATGTTTTTGGAAAAGACAAGACAGATACCAGTGCTTCCTGTGAGAAGTTTAGCAATAAGATTGAAATTATTAGTTGTGCTCTTCAAGAGTAGAAAGATGGGCTGGGGATGTGGCTCAAGCGGTAGCGCGCTCGCCTGGCATGTGTGTGCCCCGGGTTCGATCCTCAGCACCACATACAAACAAAGATGTTGTGTCCGCCGAAAACTAAAAAAAATAAAATAAAATATTAAAAATTTTCTCTCTCTCTCTCTCAAAAAAAAAAAAAACATGCATCATGAAAAAGAAAAAAAAGAGTAGAAAGATATCACTGGTGTTAGGTTAGCTCTACCACATGGAATCCCCCCCAGATCCTTATTTACAAGAGCTTTATGTTACATGAATAACATGCCCATATTGTCTCTTGTTTTTATTAAACTTAATAATCTTTGGAGGGATATTCAACCTTTTGAGTTAATGAATTACACTGACTCCGAACAACACTTGCTATATCTACCTTCTGGGCATTAGTGCTTTTGCTCTTGATGATTCCTGTCCAGAAGCAAAGAAGCACTGGAGTAAAGAAAAGCTAAAACTTCCCTAGTGTCAGTTACATCAATAGGCATCTGCTGCTTTCCCACTGGTTTCCTTAGAGAATACTTTACTCCCTCCTTTTCACTTTTGTGAGGGGGGAAGAAGTTAGGTCTTCTAGGAGCTTTTTCCTGGCCTATGTGATCTGAGGAGGATAAAAGAGTCTCCACAAATGTACCTGAGCCAGGGAGTTGACTGAGCAGGACTAGGATTAGGGTGAGATAAGTAAGGAGCTCAGCCTACCCTGGGTGCAAAATCCAACTGGGCGCCAAAAACCTCAGTGATGCAATAGTTTTTAAAATCAGAAATTCATGCAAAATAAGAAACGTGGTGACAAAGTACCAAGATTTTCAATAAAGATAGGTTCCTCCCTGATCTTGTTCCTCAACTGAGCCTCACCCTGATCTCAGCCCCATGGTTGTGTTCCCCTTTGTGCCAGTTTATTTTGGATTGCAGGACTAAGAGGAAACTGACCCACTCCATTCTGCCTAAAACCAAATATGTCAAGGTAAAACTTTCCAGACCAATGGAGACATATAGTTTATAATCTGTTCAAGAGTTTCTAGACTGCCATAAATTGGAAGCAGTCAACTGATTTCCAAAGAAGAGAAACTCCCATTAGAATAAGTAAAAGAATCAACTTTACTTACCTGATACATTTCAGTACATGGTAACTGGATTTCCTATCATGCTGAAATTTTGAAATGTTTTGAAGAATATCTTTAATTAATATTATATATCTATGTTCATATTCTAGCATTTTTCAGAGTTCAGGAGAACCTGAGTAGAAAATTACTGTTGAAAAGACAAAATTCCCTGATGTAACTTTTTTTTTCAGAGATTTCACTTTCATCATTTTTTGCACTAAATCAGATTTCATTTCTACCATCTTCTTTCTTGTGAGTTTAAATTATTTCATGTGATATTATGAAATATATGTTCTATTAGTCATTAGCTAAAATAGCAATTGGGTTTCATTGTTGCCATTTTTACTGTAGTGGTGGAAGCTGTGCTATTCATTTATTTTAAATGAATAAAAATAACTTGATGTCCAGAAAGATGTTACAGTTACTACTAGAAACACCTCCATTACTCATATATATATATGACTTAATTATGAAAAATGATATCTAGCTACTTTTGTCTTAATGAAGGAGCAGGGGAAACTCCACACAATTTCCAGAATTAACTGTTTTTCACTTTAATATTCTGGAAATGTCTTTACCTTTATAGATTGTGCAATGGATTACCTTTGCACAATTCCTCTGGTCTACTGAGCTCTGTCATGAAAAACTAGTAGAGAAGAATGTCAGCATACTGATTGGCTTAAATTGAAATTACTTGTTATATATCCTATTCATGAACAGCTGGAACATCTCAGGTAACAAGCCAAAAGTTAAATTCTATCATCTGCCCATCTCTTAATTCATTCCTTGCCTTACCTTCCACATGGTCATTTGGTTACCCTTTCCTTTATTATGGAACCAGACATCGAATAAAATGTTGTTTTTTATTACTGTTAGTTATAGTGCAGATGAAAAGCAATTCCTAAAATAGACATTGAATTTTTGCTGAAAATTTGTTTTAATTTATGGGACTACACTTAGACTATTTCTAAATTTACAAAATGTATCATTGTATTCAGAAAACTGCTGGGAATGGTTAGACATCGTCCTCTGAATTTTTGTTGCATTGCGAGGTTTTATAAAGAAATATTTACTTAAAAATTCCAACCAATGGCTGGTGACTGCCAGCTTTCATTAAGAAAGATGATACATGTCATAGCAGTCAGTAGCATCCAGTCATGCTCTGAACTTATAGGTAACTTTGTACTATTGTTGATGCTGCTATTTAATTCTCATAGGTATATACAAATGAATATCAACTGTTATTGACACCAAAATGGTAAGGAATATACTGTGTGCACAGAAATCAGCCACCCTGAACAGAAGCAGTCTTGTCCTCATTCCGATCTGTGTTCAGAGGCATCCCTTGTTTTGAAAGGGAGCCTTTCTGGAAAGGCTTTTACTACATATCTTAATGTTTGTCTTTTACTACATATCTTAATGTTTGAGGATACTTAACTTTTAAAAATGTACCTTTTATCACATGTAAATAGAAAATATCAAATTTCTTGGGAAGGAATGGAAAAGGTGAATACTTTGGTGCTGATGTTTTTAATGTTTTCTGTATCCTACCTTGTGCTTCTCAGACATTATTCAACTCTTAAGTTGGAATTCTATGCTCATAGAAACATTTGAAAATAAAAATTCCTAGGCCCTCCGGCAGAAGGGATTTAGAGATCATCTGATAGCTCCTCAAAACCCTTCATTCAAGTGATGCCTCACCTAAAGCAATAAAGATGGAAGCAGAGCTTCTAAGGGACCAGGTGGTGAGGGTAAGCAGTTGGGGTGTCCCTGCAGTTCAATATTTTCCCCACTTCTACTTTTTCCAAGGCCCTTTCCTGAACCCTAAGGTGCCTTTGAAAACCACAGAATTTTTCTTTGGCCTTAAACCCTTTTTAATAATCTGATAGAATGTTTTCATCTTTTAAAGATTAACTCTGGGGCTGGGGTTATAGCTCAGTGGAAGAGTACTTGCCTAGCATGTGTGAAGCACTGGATTCAATTATCAGCACCACATATAAATAAAATAAAGGTCCACCAATAACTAAAAAGAAAGATTAACCCTATATCTTGAAATGAGGGCCATAATGTGGTCTCAAAATGTAAGTGCTGTAG